TTTAATCTATCCGATGCTTTTACTTGTTCTAGATATCCAAACATGATACCCATAATTGATAGGCTTGACAGACTATGCATTATGCCATAAGCATTTTGATTTTTAATTGGTTTGTGTAATGCTAGGATTCATCCAACTTGATATTATTATCGCATTACAATTAATTCGCATTAAAATTTCTCCACTTTCCCTCGCATTTAAAATCAGTTAAAATTTCAACTCGTTATTCATGATCATATTAAACTTACATGCATATTTCATGGTTTTGACATCTTTAGCTCAAGGTTGACAAATTCATCCTTTAAAACTTATTTTGCCGATCGAGATTTTGCTTGACTTTTGCCAAATAGTATTTCCATTTTAAACGGTATTGCATTTATTCCACAACAAAACTTCGAGTTTGTAGGAAAGTACTTCTTTTATGCACCATAAATTAGAGTATATTACGTAGATAAATGGAATTTCAACCATTGCTTTTTGCATTTTTGTCGGTTTTTAAATTATAGTCCAGTCAGTTCCACTACCCTTGATGGGTAAATTTTATTGGTCCCAGAATTTAGTCTATTACCGTTTTAACAAATTTTCCTTTATTTATGCAAGGATTCTCTTTTTGCCGTACTTAAATTAACACTGATTATTTGAGTTCTATTTAAGCAACGTGTCGCGTAAAGCGAGTGTTCTTGACATCAATAAGTGTAGTCGTTCCAATGCTGAGTTCATATTAAAATTAAAGCGTATCTTCTTTACAAAATCTGGTTTCTTTTTGTTTCTTGCTCTCATCATTTTTTATCTGCTATTTTTTCTCACTCTCAGTTTTTCACTTCATATGCATTAAACCGGGTGGCGTGGAGCCGTCCCAAACTCTAGAAAACTCATGTTGTCACTTTCTTCTGACCTTTTCGCTTTTCTAAATGTCATGCACGCGTTCGTCCCAAGCGAAAACACTTTATGCACGAGTGTGCGTACGCATGTGTTGGTGTGTTTGTCTCCGCATAAATCATACACTCAACTTCTCGATATGAGGAGGAAGCGAGAGGGAAAGGGGGTGTTAGGAATGAGTACCCACTGTATTAAACTTGGTGTCTTCAACGACTGTCTCCCTTCAGTGTTGAAGGCGAGTGAGGAAAACTCCCACGAAAGATTGACCTACTGTAATGCAACAAAAAACCATTTTAAAAGCGACAACTGCATCAAAATAAGCCTCGAGTTTCGTGTTAATACTCGGTATGTGTGTTTGCATGTGTGAGGGTGGTATAGCGAAAAATTTCTCTCTTCCCACCATCAGATGCCCAAATATGCTTTAATTAGCATACAGTCGCTATTCTAGCCTTCTTAAATTTTGCTCCCTTGCCCCTCCCCTTTGTCTTGAGGTGCCATTCTATCAACCCACGGATCTCCTCCATTTAATTTGCCTTTAAACAAACCTCGTCCCTGTCAGACTTCAATCTTGCTTTTTATACGGCTCTGTATCCATTTGTAGAGCTAAAAATTTTGTAATGAATTTTTCTAAAACTTTGCATTAACTTGTTTTGCACCAAAATCACCCACTTAACAATGACATTTAAACTACAAAAGCACTTATTTGCCAAAACAAAGGAAATCTGAAATACCTTTTTACTTAATCAAAACGCCAGTAAAATATAAACTTTGTTTTAAAATAGATCATTTGAAGAGGGTGCACATGATTTTAAAATGATAAGACATAAAGTTCATGCGGAACCCTAAATTAGCCTCTATTTTCCACACATCCCTAGAATATGACTGAAACACACGGGATGTCTCTAATTATAGAGCTGTCGCGTCAAGTTAATTGCGAGGGGTTGGTGTTTGAGCTTTCGGATCCTGAGGTGGGTTGCGAGAGCCTTTACTGCATTCCCTCCCCGACAATGTTGTTAAGACGTTGGGTGGATGAATGTCCAATGTGACATTGTGAGTGGCGGGAGTAAAACCGAAATGACGACCCACCTGCAAAAGTGTTGGTTTAAGAAGTATCCCTTAAAATCGCCAATTTGTAAAGCGTTGGTGTTTTCCTTCAGAAAGACTATGTTAAGAGTGCTAACAATTCTCAGGTTATTCTGTAAAAATGTAGTTTTTTGATAGTGAATGTGAAACAAAAATTGTTTAATAACCGATAGTTTCATTTTACCATTGAGATTTAGTCATGAAATTAAGACTCCATACTTGACTGCTTAAGCCAAGCATCACCATTACCAGATACTTTCAAATTTTTCCCCTCTTCTTACCAGAAGGAAAGACTTAAGTGTTGGTGTTTAAAAGCATGGGTCGAACTGTTGAGCCTCTTGCATAAAACTCCCGAAAGAGTTGTCCAAATCAGGCCTCCCCTGTCCGTCTCAGAGCACGCAACTCGGACACCCCGGGGCTTGATCACACTGCAGAATTGTCGCACAAAGTGACAGACTGGCTAGGAAGCATGCCATTATGGTGGTCATCCGCTAGAATGCCCAAAAGGCTGCCCTCAAATGCGAAGAGACCGGCAATTCAAAAGTCAGTTGTCAAAGCATTGCTCTAAACAAACGGCATAACTTTAGTACTACTTTTTTTGGTCAAAAAGGTGGATTATTTCAGTTATTTTAAAATAAGCTAGACAAACTAAGAATGAGAATGAGAATTCCAATTTGCAGGGCGCGGCAAAGCAAAGCGATGTTTTGTTCCAGGGCCTCCATAATAAAATGTGGCATTTTTGCTGTGTTCCAACTCCACCGCCCTCGCTCTCTGTCTCTCTCTCTCTCTTTCGCCCTCTCTCTCTCCCTTCTTTCTGGACCCCACTTAAAGGCGGAAAATCATCTAGTAGTGTTTTCTGTGCCTCCAGTTCGAAAAAAACAGCTGACGAAGCAATGTTAAAGTGTGCGTGTGCGTGTGTATGTACGGGAATTGCGAGCCCTAAAGTCAACGGTTTTCCATGTTTTCCGCGCATGTGCACGTAGGAGGTGTTTATGTATGTACATTTGGCGCTGTCAAAAATTTACGGCTCCGTTGGTGTGGGCCACCCTGCTTGCAAACATCAGCCCACCAACCATTTGTTTGTTTGTTTTCTCGCTGCCCCGCTATTATTAATTATTGCCCCACACAAATACTCGCACACACACACACATGCTTATACACGCCCTCTAAAAAGCGCTTTTCTGTCCTAATGGCCTCATTGTTGCACCGGTCTTGCGGCCTCTCTGGAGCCCTTGTAGGAAAATCACCTCGACGTCTACCCTGCATCTCCATCCTCTCCCCCCCACACCTAATAATGAGATTTCCATGATTTGGTGCTACCTTAAGACTCCTTCCAACGAAACAATACTTTCTTTTAGTGTGAGTAATGTATCAGTTCTGACAACTGAATTGATTTCATCTACAACTATCATTCATTACACTGTAAGAGTTAAAGTTTTGACATTGCCTAAATAGAATAAGCTAAGTCCTAATTATTCGTCATCACGTCACTGATAATGAGTTAATTTTTGTCCATTTACTTTTATCAACACTTTTTTTACCCACACAAATGATTTCTCATCTGGAAATGGCCCCAGTTGTGCCCTTTAGTAAGTGATAGTTACTAAAGGACAGGAGGTCGAACCCGCTCAGTTTTAGTGCTCTTAACTTTTAAACGCAGACCATGATTCCGGCTTTAATAATCTTTACTGGGATCAGAAGTAGAGTTTGATGCACCGAAATTATGCCGCAGTGTGCATTGACATCAGAGAATCAAGAGGTAGTGAGATTGATATTTTGAGTAGAGTGTTAATGATGCTGTTAATGCTAATAATGTTATCGCCGCTGCTGCTGCTACTGCTGCTGCTGCCACACCTCGACCCAAATATGCTCAACCACGAGCTTTCGTCTGCAAAACCGAGGCGAAAAACCGAGCCAGCCATCTTGTTTTTCCCGCGATTGGCGAATTTTTTATGGCATGAACGACGCTCGCTTTGTGTGTGTGTGCCTCCCTGACACACACGCACGCACGCAAGTAGGCATCGCCGCACCGCCGCACCGCACGCTTTTCATCACGTCATCGCACCTCAAACAAACGCGGGTGACACGTTCGCACCGGTGCGTTCGCCTCACTCTTTGGGCGGTCTCTTAAATTCTCTCTACCTCTCCCTAGTTCGCTGCCTTGCTCTCTACTTCTTACTCTCCCTCTCTCTCTGCCTCACTCTGCTGAGGCGGAAAACAACTACCTCCAACTCGCGTGCGAGAGAAAGTGGGAGAGATTGTGTGTTTGTGTGTGTGTGAACATCGTCATTTTCTCTCCGCCTGTCAAGTGAAGTAGCATTGAGTCGACAGTTTAGGCGGGTTTTTTTTTCTGCATTTTCCCAGTCCGTTCACCGTCCTCCCACTAACTCGGCCACCCACCTACTCACTAGCCGACCCATCCACCCTCGGGTCTACCGCAGAGGCAAAATTTAGTGTTTGTGGTTTTACAAAAACGCAAACGACTGTTTTAAGGCGCAAAATTGTCACCGCGGGCAAACACAAACCTGTTGGCTTGATTGGCCAAGTGGCGTGGCTGTTAGTCTGTTAGTCGCTCCCACTCCCTCGTTCTCTGGGGAACTGTTTTAAGAAGGAAATCCGCGCTAATTAAGACTTATGCCAGCAAGTCTTTACTCACATATTTATTCATTTTATACTTTTTCTATTTAAACTATCAACGCGGTCATTGTCAAGACCGAAACCTTTGATGATTCTCTACCAACGTAGCTTTGCGGTCGTAGCCAGTCATTTGCTCTTCTCCATAAATCATAAAATTCCTCTTTTTGTGTATTTTAGCTTTTAAATAGCAAAGGCAGTGGTTTCTGTTGTAGGGATGACCACGATTACCGGTTAATGTTTGATACATAGTCAATGGCAATGTATTTTCAAAGTTGTTTGTGATGCTTGTGATTATGATGAGACACCAACTGACACGATTGGAGTCAGCAAGTCCATGTAATAAAAGCCACCGAACGTGTGTACCCAGGCACGTAGAGTGCGGCCACCCACAGATGCAACAATTATTTCTAATCATTCTTCCTATGGAAGGGCAGTAAGAGGGCGCAAGAGAAAGCGCCCCAGACAGGCGGCGAGAAATTTTGCCTCTGGCTCGACAAATTTCCCCCACTTTTTATCAGTACAAAATCCCATTGGAGCAGTTGAATTAAGTCTTCAAAGATTGTGGAAAAGTGCGATCAGATGGCTCTTGCCTCCCTCTTGTGTAAACGCGTCTACTCGAAATCACACTTTTGGGCGAAAAATTCCCTCGTTGGCACGGTGGGTGGCCGTTTCTCAGTTGTGGCCTAAAATACGGATTTTTGACAGACCCAGTCATTTCTTCCTGTTGTCGAAAATGAGGAATGTTTATGCAGTGACATTTCTGAGAGTCATAGATCTACTAGCAACGTCTTTAATGCCCACCGAAGTAGTTCATTGCCGCAGCAGGTCCTTGTGTGATCGCAACAATCGTTTACAGCTAGAAGGTTGAAGTGTTACTTGTAGAACTTGCATCTTGAGAATTGTCGTAGACCACACACAAGGCTAGCGATGGAGCGAGAACTGAAAGGGACTGCCCACAGAACGTTGTAGGAGTTGGGTTTGTAGTAGGTGTTGTCGGTGATGTCGTTGCTAGTTTTCCGTGCCTGCTTTTGTGTGAGAAAGATTATCGTCGTGTGCGCAAATACGTCGCTTTGATATAATCGCTCTCCTACAAACATAAGCACACACAAACGCAAGTTAATTTCCCTCGGGTGTGGTCAACCATGTTTGGCCATACTACTTAAATTAAAAGGAAAACCCCTAAAAAGACGAAAGAGATTTTCTTTTTTGGTCTTAAAGGACTAGTTTTTTTCCCTCTTAAATGCCAAAAGACCAGTTTTGACTTAAATTGTGAAGGTCGGCTAATGACCATTAAGTTTGTAGCCTTGTCCTCAGGTAGTCATCGTCTCTGATTGCAGGAAAAAAAATGAGACTTCCAGACCACACGACTGGCAAAATGGTCAACCTCAGTTCAAAAGTAGATGATGTTTGCGATTTTGCTGTCGTGATTGACTACACTTAATTCTGCCCACACATAAAGACTTAAATTTACCTTTGCAGCAAAATATTTACATAGTACTTATAAAGTTACATTCTTAAAGCAACCAACACTGTGAATTACGGTGACACCGCGTTGCGCGTTTGAGGTTATTCACTTCACGTTAAACGAGTCTTTAATGTTGATTCTATGAGTACATAGAAGTGATGAAAAAATATTGCATAAGAAATAAAACTCAGCACGGTTAAATAGCAGCCTCCAGTTTATGAAACCGACTTTTTTCACGCAATCAAATAAACAGCGCGCCCTTTTTTATCGTCTGCATCGCTTACAACAGTCGTTTTGCTCAATTTTTAAATTTTAATCCAAGTGAGCTGGCAGTCTCTCACCATGCCAGTGTCTTCAAAATGAAAACAAAAAAAAGACACATGATTCCTCTCTATCTGCTGTATTTAATAAAAAAGGGAATGCAAAGTCGAGGCAGTTGTGATTTTCATGATGATGGCGGAACTTTGTTTTTAGACTTCCCACAAATTTTTTATCAACACTGGCATGCATATTTTGTTGACTTCATCACGACATGATATAATTTAAGAGGTGCAACAGGTATCAAAATAAATTGTTCTTACGTCTTGACAGTTATTTTGTGTATTTTACTATAATCGCATAATCTCTGTCGTGGTTGTCCTCCCAGCCAAGCAAAAGGTCTGAGAGCGCTTTCATTGATAGAATTAAGAGCCACAATAAGGCAGTGAAACAAAAAAAACAGAACAACTTTCGAGAAACTCTGACTTAATGGCGAATTTTACATACCGTTTGAGTTGCAGTATTTCGGCTTTAGCACCACCGAATTTATAGGTACTCGCTTTGGAGGTTTTAAGAAGTTATCCTGAAAGCCCGGATGGAAAAATGGCACATTTATTAGTCGGAATTGGCGCGTTTTGTCCCGCGCCTGCATATCACATTCAAAAAGGACGCAGAAAGAATTTCACTCGCCTGTCACATGCGCAAGCGCGTTGGCGCGTGCGTGCGTGCGTGCGTGCATGCGTGCGTGCGTATGAGTGCGTATGTTCGAGGCTTCCTAAAACGGTCTTCTTTTCTACTGCCCTGTATGTTTTTTTCTCCTCGAGTGTCACACTTCTTGCTGTATTTTACATTAGCACCTCGCAATAATGCTTCCTCGTTTGTATCTCACCGGGTTTTTCTGCATTGCTTTGTTGATTTTCCGGCGGATGCACAAATCGCTCTGATGACGGTGACGACAGAAGCGGAAAAAAATAGTCCTCTCGTCCTTCCTTCTCCTCTCCTCTCCTCTCCTCTCCTTCCTTCCTTTTTTTCTTTCAATTTATGCTTCGCATTTACCCTTTTGTGCATTTGTCAGGCTAAAACTTAGAGAGCATGATAAATAGAGTTTCTACTAAGGTACAAAGAGGTACGGTCAAAGAGTTTGGTGGTGGAAATTCCTTCTGCCAGCTATAAATTCTACCCAGGCCAATTGTTTTTCTCTTTCATCATATAAATAGCATAATATATTGAATAAATGGAAACATAGGGCAAGCAGACCTTCCGGCCAGTCCACTAGAAACATTTTTGGGACCTAAAACATTGGGCACCAACTGCATTCACTCTCTCTGCTTTCGGTAGAACTGCAGTATCCGTTTCCTTTTCTTTAGCGGTATGAGAAAACCAGTTGCATATGAAAACTCCCTAAGTGTGCCTTCACAATCACTTTCTCCCACTTGGATGCGTTTTCGGTTATTAAATTAAATGAAAAAACAAATTACTGACCTGTATTTAAATTATTCTGATGGCTGTATGTCAATTGTGTCTTTGGAGGTGTTCAGCACAGATAATGGAAATTATAGTTCCCAATCACATAAACAAACTTCTCCGTAGGAGTTAATGCAAAAATGGAGGTTTTGGCTCTATTAAGTGCAAAGACAATTTCAAAATGGAATTTGTAAATGTAACAATGGTTTTATTCCACATCATCTTTGGCGGTTATTTCCTATTTCTCGGATTCGGTAGAGATTTTAGACTTCCTTCGAGCCTAAATTTTGTTATTTTAAATATGAATTATGTGGTGGAGAAGGACACTTATTAATATGTTTACCGCTCTTTTTTTAAAATTCATTGCCTTACTTCCTAATTCAGAGCCCTCTTTTTTGAATGCATCCGCCAAAATGGAACCTTAGGCTTACTACAAAATTTGGAGTCTCTTAAGTAGTATGTCCATGGCTAAGCTCGACTCAATCAATTCTTGGAAATGATAAAATTTGTGACAGTACTAATATGGCGCCTAAGATAAAAGTCAACAAATCTTTAGCAACGTTTCAAGTTTACCTTCTTGCGTGACTTGGGGAGTAGCTCGAGTGGAGGTCAGGTTACATAAAATCGGGAGGTAGTGTGGAACAGTGGATTCTGTGGAAGCTATCGTCAGTCTATGCCTGTGCATATGTGCGTGTGTGTGTATGGGTGCTCGCGTTGCCCTCCCTTCCCCTTTTTCCTCCCCCCCTTCTCCAAGTTCTCCCTTCGTGGGAGCATAACACGGCCTCACCACCGGAAAGATCAAAAGGGGGCGATTGTTACACTTGGACGGTTGTCCTCTCTTCCCTCTCGCTCCCCTCCCTCCTCTATCATGAGTTGCCGCCCCGTAACAGGTGAAAAACACGGCTGTCGGTCGGCTTGATTGTTTTATAGTTGCATGTACACAACCGCGCCCGTTATTATCATATTGAGCACAAACTGTGAGCAACCATTACAGTGACGGCGACGAGGCTGACAGTGATAATAGAAAGAACAGTCATGTCCGCAGGCCTCTTGGTGTGTCTGTGTGCGTGTGTATGCACATTTGCGTCTGTAAGTGTAACAAAGAACAGGCTTCAAACCAAAGAGTAATGAAGATGCCGTCAAGAGAGACATAATGCTTGCATGCCCACTTCCCTTCCCTCCTGTCAGCAATCCGCTTATTTTACCCGAGGCTCTCCAAATGTGTCGCTTGACTGATAAAACTCAGCCGTAATCATCGATAGTCTTGCATAAAACGCTTTTTTTTTAAATTGCAATCAGGAGAGCTGCATCGTTGAAAACAAGTTGAAACTAGCCTCTTCTTGAATTTAGCCACAATTTTTAGTGGCTATTTATTGCGCAAAATAAAATCCTAGAATCTACACAGGACTTTTTTGGTGAACAGCTCCAAAATATTGAGCCTTTGAGCAAATGTTAATGAATGACTTGAAAAAGTTCAAGTCATACTTCAATGTTGAAAGATTTTTGTATCGTTGTCCGCGAATTACAATTGGAGTTGCAAACCGCATGCCAATTGGAGGACGGAGTAGAAAATATTTGTTTAGATGGGTTAGAGCCACAGGACAATAAAGGCCTTGCTTAACAAAAATTATGATGCAAATCCGATTATTGGCTGATGTAGAAGAGAGCGTTGGATTTGCGGTAGTCGGCTGGGGAGTGGGGGATGGAAGGACAGGGGGCAGGGAGGAGGGAGATTAACACTGACTGTCCACCTGTCAAAAAGCACAACTGAAGGCAGGGTTAGTGCTTCATAATTCTGAGGTGCCCCGGCACACCTAGCTTTTTATATACGGTTTCATCAAAAGTGTTCCCCGCTTGCGGAACGATACATGAGGCGATTGTTCTCTGGGGACAGGGGCAGTTCTCTATTCACACACACACACACACATAGAGAGAGAGGATGTTTTATTATCGCATGTCACCACCGCCACTATCACCACCTCTACCATCACCATTACCGCCACGATACTGGCAATAATTACCGTGTCCTCTTCATGAAAGGCTTTTTTGCTCTAAAGAATAGCCCCCATTGCTCCTTTGTTGTAGAAAAACTGCATGCAACTGAGACATCACACGCCATCCGATCTAAAATGTTTGATCGTATTGTAGAAAAGGACACAAAACAAAAATTGATTTGACAGAGGTTTCCTTCTGATTCTTAAGTGATAAGGCTGGAAGAGGTCGGTTATTTCACAAATACGGGAGTAGAGGGAGGAGGCTGTATGTATTTAATAATTCATCACGGTTTCTTCCCTCGGCACCATGGGTGGTGGTATCCCATGGGGCTTCTTCGGGCGTACGCATAACCGTGACGAGGTTCCTCGCATTTTGCAGCAAAATTGGTTCTCGTTGAATTCACTTTTTTGACTTCTATCACTAAGGCAGGTGTGTAATGAAGCACAAAAGCCTTAGTGGCAGTGTGTTCGGTAGTATTTACACAACATCAACTTTCTAAGTAGTCTTATTTCAAATCGGCTTCAAATCCTCATTTATCACTGCCATTATCCTTGCATTTTTAACCTTTTTTCCTTAAAACTTATCAAACTTGTACACAAAAAGCCTGATCAACTGCAGATGTACGTGTTAGGGACAAAACCCTAGTGTTAATGCTAACAAATTGAAAGGTCATATTTTAATCGCGAACCCTTAGCTGCCCTTCAAAAGTATTGTAATCATTCACGTAACTAGCCACCATAGCATCGCATAACACCACACGGATCACTTTTCTCATAAAAATCGCTTTACTATCAGCATAGCTGTTAATCTCTGGACTAACATCAAAGACTGAGCCTTCTACGTTTGACATTGCCTTATATTGTAGCTTTTATTTGCAAACCTATGCTTCTAGCACATTCTTCCACAAGAAAACCAATCTTACACTGCTCGATGAACGTAGCCTTTACAAATTTTACGCATGACTGTAAGGCCAACGTGAGACTTGTGGGCAGCTTTGACTAGACAGTAAGACTATGCGTATCGTAACTCAGGCAGCGCTCTTCACCAGACATTGCACACCGCTTCCGGTGGAGGTTCACTGTGCCCCAATCAAAGCGGTCTGCTCAGTCTTCATAGTATAATTCCCATTCTCTGGTGTATAAAAGGAAGACCGAACATTGGTCCCCGTTTAAAATTTGAGACAGAACTTTGTGTGATTAAATCTAACTTCTCTACCTCATCCAACACCTTAACAAGTCAGCATGAGGAATTTGATTTAGGTAGGTGCGCATTACCATCCCATCCAGTCGAAAGGCTGCCAGCAGAGACGGTGCTTCCCACCCTCTTTAGCTCTCAAGCCTCGGGAAACACAAATTCGTTTTGATAAGATTGTTTGATGCCATTTTTAGCCTCAATTTGCATTAGGCTACCACCTTACTAACTAACGGTCCCTAAAATCCTCTCTGATGTGGACCCCACTTTGCCTTAAAAAAACATTGACAAACTCAAAATGTCTTGAACTGAAAGTGATCGAAACATGGAAGTTTGATACCCAAATTTTGTATTCTTCATTAACAGTCACTCGTGACTCACAAAGTAAGGGGAATGTGTTTGAATGTTTACAAGTTTGTTCTGTAAGACTTTAGCTACAGCACAACACTAAACTATCGTCGAACATATGTTTAGAAATTAAATTTCCTTATAAAACGGTCAGTGAAGAAATATGCACTTCCTTGGGAAAACTTTAATGTTCCAATGACCTTTTCACGCCTTTGTCTTCGTATTGCTAAGGGCACACAAAAACACATGCATGTGCAGATAGAGGGTATGAGTTTCTGCTGGTATTTAGCTAGAAAGTGTGGCGGAATGGAAGAAACATTTTATTTTCTTGTTGTGCGCTTAGTTGTCGGCTTTGGTACCCCACGCATTCGAAGGATTCTGCAAGCAAAGAAGGTGATACTGCATCAACTGTCTCAAAAAAAGTTGCCTTTTGGACACTCACGTTTGGTTACCCTGTGCGCATCACTAATCAGGCCTTTTGATCAGATCGGTAGGGAGGTATAAGAGGCCTTTGGAGATGAAATGGAAAAAACTCAGGTAGCACATTGTGGAAGCGGTGGTGGTGGGGATGGTAGTGGCGGTGATCCTGGCGACGGCTGAAGTGGCGGAAGAGGTGAGATAAAATTTATACATTCCAAGACATTTCAGTTCCAATGTCCGCACCTTTTTTCTTCTCCTATCCTTCTTCCTCCTTTTGCGTCGTGGTGACCTTTTTCAGCACCGATGTATGTCTTCCTGCGCTTGAATTGCAAAGAAAAAATTTAGGTTCTTATGGAGTGCTAGGAATCCATACGGACCAAAGGATCAATTGATAACAAACTTTTTTTCCATCTCGTCTCATGCAAACGACGTCGACGCAATAAAACTTTTTTTCTGACTACAACAAACCCATGTAAAGCCTGCCTTTTATGCATCTGCAGGAAAATACGACGGGGGAGAATATGGGAACTAGTAACGGACAGGAGGATTTCAGATCTGAGGTTTCAGCGGTCGATTTAACAGCCACTCAGCCAGCCTCAGACCACTACGAGTCGGGCTCTCAAAGTAGTGGGAAGGATACTGTAGATGCAACAATTCCGTCTGCATGGCTATCCAAAATGAAGGACGAATCTGTTGAAGATGGATCCGGCAATCTGCATTCTCCAAAAGCCCTTGTGCTTGTTGCGAACCCCTCCTATCCACAGTGTTCCTCAGCTCCAACACCTACGGTTAACAGCGCTTCCTCTTGCACACAATCACCGAAGAACAGTCTAGTAAATCCTATTTTTTCGTCAAGAAAGGATAAGAGACGCATAGGGAGCGTAATGCCTCTTCCAAATCAACCATTTTCGCGCCTCTCCGAGGTTGAATACTCCCCTAAACGCCTTCCTGATCTCTCTCCGTCTGCTGGGTGCCCATCCAAGAACTGGAAGATTACCCACTCTGATCGCTTAAACGCTCTCATCGACGAATGCGAGCGCATTGTCGATGGACGGAAAGTGTTTAAGTGCAAGTTTTGCGGCAAGATGTATGATATTAAGAGCAGCATGCGCTACCACATGAAAATAATTCACTTACAGCTTCATTTGCGTACCTCGGAGATGCAATGTCGCATTTGCGGAAAGCAATTCACCTGTATCAGCGCTGTGAATCGCCACCAACTAAAGTGTTCGGCGAATTCAACCTCCAATTTCACTTCTACTAATCCCATCCAGTCTTCTTGTGGGTCCTCTTTTCTCGGTAAACCACGACAATCGTCTTTGCCCACATTTGCAAATCAGTCTCCTTCAGCTTTCATGAACCTTAACAACACGCCAGGGATACGTTGGAGTGGTGTGACAAGTAGTGGACGGCATTCAAATCAGCCAATCACTAGTCAGAATCCTTTCACCTTTTCGTCTACAACTGATACTCCTGCATACATTTCTTCTACTGTGACTACCCCCTATCCTACTCAGTCCGTTCGCTCAGGATTCGACTTAGACGGACCGCGTTTTACTGGAGGACCTGAAATTTCTCCACACCAACTCGGCGGCTCATCACTAGTACATTCTGTTCATAACCTCGTGGAAGGCATTCCACCGCTTTCTTTCAATGAGGTCTTCCTGGCCAGTTTGGGTCGTTCTAATGGATCGAATTCTGGAGAGCGAAAGGGACCTATTTTTGACGATCTTCCACCACCCGGTTTCATGGGTGCTGCCGCAGTTCACAACTTTCTCGCTTCGTCACAATCCAAAAGAATGCGAAAGTCGGAAAATCCTAGTTTTGTTGAGAGTCGACTAAGTGAGAATCTCTACGAAAGACTCTTCCCTTCACAAAGCGAAACTGCCACCGCCGCTGTAACAGCAGCAGCCGCGACAGCTGCAGCAGCTTCAGGGACAGCCATCGATCTCTCACTCAATGCCTCTTGTTGATGGATAGAACGACAGGCGCATAATGCGACAGTGGACCCTAAAACATCTTTACACTATATCACTGTGGGTATATGTACAAAGCTACTCCTCTTACGCTTAATTCTCCCACCCCTTATTCGAATGCTTTGCATGCGCATACGCCCCAAGCACGCACGCACGAACGCATTCACGCACTCATGAACACAACACAAACACGAATTCGACCTCAGACCAGACCGAGCGTATGTGCATTTATACCTCTTATATCAATATGCATATAAACTTCCTTCCCGTTCAATGGCCGATTGACAGTCGATTTTATCCACTTGAATCTGGTATTGTGATTGGGTCAAGTACTAACCTCTCTAAACTCTCATTTGGAGTGTTGAAAGTTTTGCATTCAAAATCATGTCTTAAGAGTTTGGAATTATTTATGTTTTAAATTAATTAGAATTTGTTAAGATGATTTGCCGTTGCAAGCGTGTTTAACTAATGCAGCGAACCCATCATTAAAATGATTGGTGTGCGGGTACACCAGTCGTTGCTTAGTCTACTCTCTCAGTTTCTTCTTCTATGTTCTCCTTACTGCAACGAACACACGCTAACGTGTCTTTTAACCAATTTAAACTGCATACGTTACCTCAGATTTTACAGTGAGTCGATTAAAGATTTTATTATGTTCCAACTTTTAAATCTCAGTAATGATTTGACACTTCGAACCATCAGTGGATAAAATAAAAAGAATGTGTTCTATACAACAGTTAACAGTCAGAGGTCAGCTCAAAACAACCGCAGTGACCATTAAATTGTAACTTAAGCAGGCGATTTCCTTTTGCCCTATAGGTTTATAGGTTTGTGAGATGGCCTGGAAGAAGACGAATATGCTTTCGGCTTCGGGTGTGAGTAAATGACAAAGAGGGGGTCAGAAATTCGTCTTTCTGAATGGTAGCTGGCTGCACTGGATTTGCGCTTGTAACAGGTTGCGTCTTCCAATGCGGTCACACACATTTTGGAATATTTTCATCAAAATTTGCAATAGGAAAACGCGCATATATTGTAGTAGTTGAATGAGGAAGCTTTCATCTTTACCGATTTACGGCTAAAGTTCATTCCACGAATTAAGGATACAGTGTAGTAAAGCAGTTCTACGCCTTCAATCCAATATCATTTGGACTGCAACCTGTCAGAAAGAGGCTAAATTTGGTCGAGACAGGGTTACCATCATTTCAACGAATCAAAGGCAATGAGTGAAACAGGATTTCCTCGCCTAACTGTGTGAGATCTTTGACATATTACTGTTTTGTACGGCATCTATGGCAGTGTCAAAAATTCATTAGTATTCGTCAAATTCTGAATAACTCTGCCACGTCTACTAACTATTTCTACTTGAAGAATACCTTACCAATCAACAGCTGGATTTGTTCTGAAATCCAATCGGTCACCATAAAATGGATTTATTTTGGGTCCTAATTGCATAAGGCAAAGAGGAAGCCATTAACTCAATTTATGAATGAAATGTTACTTTTATTCCTTGATGGCAAGGTTTTGTAATACGCATCTGTGGGGACTATGGTTAACTCGGCATCAGCGAAGGCTTCCCACTCATAACATCACTAAGTTCTTGCATTACTTTAACTGTTATGACATTTGAGCCCAATATTTCTAGGTCTATTAAGGTAAATGATAATCTGGAAGCATCTATAAAGCTGCGTTTAGTTCAAACAAGATCACAGTGCATTGATTTCTAATTCAAAAGGCTACCCTATGCAGAAAGAAGCGCAACATTAAACAGGCTTCATTCACTATAAATACTTTTTCTTTTCACCAGCCTATCGACAGATTCTTAGTTCTGATATTACACCCACCTTTTTTAAGTCAAAGCTACACATGATTGGATTGAATTGTACGGTGGACGGGGTAAAAATTGACTTTTCTATAAAAATACATTGATACATTTTCTTTTCCTTCTGTGTCTGATCCAGAGGTAAGGCTGGCAGCAGCCAGAGGGGTCACGGGGGATACGGATACCTTGGAGAAGCGGGTGCATGCGCGCTTTCATTCACACCCTCTTGCTGGTAAGCGCGACACGCGCAGCCACTTGCTCCCTCTGATTGGCAGCCAAGCCAGTCGACTGCGCAAAAGGGCCAATCGGGACACGTAATAGTGTTGCTGCCCTCGCGTCTGTGTGAACCAATGAGACGATCCAATGGAAACGTCGAGTGTGGTCGCGGAGGCAGGAGGTGGGCGGCCCATGAAAAAAAAACCCACCCAACCCGAGTCGATTTTACTGCAATTGTTGTGAGAGTGCTCCATGTGATTTTCCCAATAAACACGGTTGGATTAATCTTATCATTTACCTCTGATGCTGCCGTACAGCCGCTGTATGCGTAATACTTTAGATCAAGACATCTGACCAAGATGTATAGTCTTTGAAGATTTCTTAATCTGCAGCCCTTTTTGCATCTGACAACAGAATCGCAAACTTAAAAACGAACAAGATTTGCACGATTACGCTGATAAGAAGCGCGATCAGAGCGAGCCAAGAACCGCAGCGTTTCCTGATTTTAGTGCTGTGGTTTCATCATAAGCAGAGAATGATAGCAACTGATCACTGAAACAAAATCCGATTTTGTTATACGATAAGATATTTTGGCCAATCAGTGTTACAGAAGGACTAAACACTGATTAAGATTGATGACATGATTAGAGTGTCGAGAGAGCGATTTCCTTGGTCTACTCGTACCATTATTGGCGTTTAGAAGGGACGAAATTTCTTGGGAAGATTACAAAAATTTCCTCGTGGACACGAGTTTTTTGTCACACTTTAGGAAACTGACAATGAATTACGATTGAACGTCGTAGCGTTTTGATCATATTTAATCCAATAGTTCCGACAACTGTTAAAAACCCCCTCAATACTCCAACGTTCGTTCAAAAACGGAGTAATAAGTAGTCATCGAATTTAACGAAAATCGTCTCTCATTGCATGCATCGCGATAGCCAAAAAAACCTTTGTGTTAAGCAATGCCTAACGTATGTACTCGGTTGAGAATTTATTTTCCTACATGTGTATAATGCCCGGGTTCTGTGGCTTACATTTACTAAAATTGTATTAAGTCTTGGGACTTTTTTGACTGCTGCAGGACATTAATCACCACAGAAAAGAGGTTAAAATCAAGCTTGCATGTTTTTTGGGGGGAATTCAAATAAGTCCATAACCGTATTCCCTAGTCAATGGCAACTCTTGGCACTTATAACTCTAATGACGGTGGTCATAAAACATAAAAATATATTTGCATTATTTATTTAAATGAATTGCCTTTACTACGATGAGGATAAGGGTAAGTAAGGCAGTTTTTAAAACTAGTAAATGCCTTATTTTAACATCAAGCGATAATGAATCGGTGTCAGGTCAACAGAGACTGTAAATCATTTTAAAAATTGCAGTCGGATCGAGGAAACTGCATTTTTAGGCTCTCAAAAGGTCATTGAAATACGAATTTTACTTTGCCTAGGGAAGAGGGAAGAGACCAGCCATCCTCCAGACCTTTGTCCGTTTGGCGTGGTATCAACTATCACACCTTAGCAGCGGTAAATCGAAAAAGAACACGAGAGTATTTTGGAAAAGTTGGCACGACACAGTTAGCCTCCACCCTATCCGACGAATTGGAAATGCCATGAAGAGAGAATTCCAAGCGCGGAATTCTGGGGAACGCGACAAATGTGAAATGGGGTAAGAACATGATTTATCGGCGGCAACCTGTTGGAAAGTTTTTTGCGCTTTACCACCAGCCCCTTCTTGCCTTTGCATTAAGCGATTGTGACAGTTTTTCCATTCGTATTCGGGAAAGAAACTGGTGTCGGATTATGGCGGCACAGTATTCGGTTATTTCCTTTAGCTTAGATAGAAGATTTTCATGATGGATACTAGCAGATCCTTTCGGATGGCGATTTTCCACCATTTATTGCGTGATTAATGCAGCAATTATGTTAGACTTGCTGCCTCAACGTCGTTTGGCATGTGTTTGTCAGTTAGGTACTTCACCTTCAGATTCTAGTTTACAGACCCATTTTGAGGGCAAGCATTAGAGACAGAGGTGTGGCTGGTCGTTGAAGCAGACGAGGTTACCAGCTCTTAATTCTTTGCTTCTCTATTCTTTAAAGCTGGATGGAAAATAATTTTGATTAAAGTCGGAATGCATTTACTCACTTAAACAGATAACCAAAGATGAAACGATGTTTATAATGAAAATTCTATAAAAGAAGACCTAAAAATGATAGAGAGAGACCTTGATTGTGGCATTAATTAGAATGTTGTAATTGTCGATTGTGGCATAGTCTGATTTTTCAAGGCCTTTGATTTGATAGCTGGTTAAACTTATGGCTAATCAAGATGATGGGCAAGTTACTTCAGCCTTTTATGGGGCATCTCAGGAATCGCACTTTAAAACATCTTCCAGCCCAATTCCCACTATGACACATGAGGCTCTCAACACTACAACCTCGATTTTGAAATGGGAAGGGACAATTAGAAGTTTTCTATCATATCTGCTGACAGCGCCGGTTAAATGCAACATGTCTTTGCATAGAGGACTTCGAAGGAGATCCGCCAGAGGAGTCTAAAGGGGTTGCTCAGCTGTATCAAAAGCACTCAAATGCATGAGCAAAGCCAGTTGGTGTTAAACGGCATACAACTCATGCTTTTTACTACCTCGAAAGTGACTCGGTCGGAACAACTTTTGAGACAAATGCCCATACATTTAGCACAGCTTGTGTCTTATGCGTTCTGTAGGTCAAATCGCCTCTCTTTGTTAGAAGACTTGGCAGCATTTTTCCTCCACTTTATCCCCTTTCAATTAGGCAAATTAAAAGGGGATTAATCACTTTGAAATTCTAATATCACTTTTTACCTCTCATTCTTAATTAGCCTTCTCGTCGTTGAGCGATGCCACTTTTTGTTGCTTTTTTAAAGACGATTGAAACTTTTTCGGCGTTAACGACAGAACCTAAGAGCATCATTT